ACATGACTAGTTTAGTTCTGACAAATTAAAGTCCATCAACCTTTAAAAGCAACTAGGTTTTGAGAAAAACCTTTAAGAATTGACTTTTCTCCGTATCTATTTGCTCTCTTCCCTTTTCCTGCCGCTGATTAGTGCAACATTTATTCATATCAACGTAGCGTTCTCCTATGCGCATAGTTGTGGCGATTTAAAGATATTTTCATGCAGGGACGCGTGTCTTTCCTTCCTGCAAATTTATTACGTTGAGACTTATAGTGCAGTTAAACTTTTAAATTGATAAACTTTTTAGATACTCTGAAAAATATCATAATCGCATAAAATAATGTTCGCATATTAGAATAAAATGGAATCTAGGCAAAACCAATTTGTCTCTAAACTGCCAGTTTCGTTGAGAAAATAAATGAAGTTTGGGTATCTTATTTGCTAGATCTTCTTCTTCAACTAACCCAAAAAATGTTAAATTTTTCTAAAACACTATGCTGACCGTCTGTCTCCCTCAATCAACTTACATACAAAAATCCCCATGTTAGCAAAATCTTATTTCTGTTTGAAGCTAAGCTCTCACTCATTCTGAAATGGCACAATGAAACAGTCTCATTATCCTGCTTTACATTCTTTGGCTTTTTTAAACAGAATTCTTAGCTGCGAATATCTCTCCCAACTCACATGCTTTTATTAATTTTGAAGAGATAGCGTGAAATGGTTAAAAAAATGAGCTCGTAGCATTATTTCCTCAATCTCCGTTGAAGGACTGAAGGAGAGAGGAAGGGGAATGCCCATCGCCTATCAAATGTCGAAAAACGCTTGTAAGTTTTTGCCGCTTTCACTTCTTTTCCATCGCTTCTCCTCGGCCATAAAAAGAGGATCCTTCATTTTACTTGAGCACAAAAGCTCTCAGAAATTGGCATTTTTTGCAATGTTCTCACAGTTACAAGAATGGAATATTTCCTAGAATAGATGAAATAGGGAAAGCTTTCACCTATGTAGTTGTCTGATATGAGAGCATCAAGAAGCAACTTTGAAATCACTGTTTCTACTAAAACTTTTATGCGCAGTTTTCAGAATCAAAACAATAAACTTCTATTTAAATGGGTGCTTATGTGAACCTTACAAAACTGGTGTCTCGATTTTTTGAGGTAATTCATATCAGAGCCTTTTTTCATGTTGACTAACTAACACATACAGTTTCTGCATACAACCTACAGTAATACACCTTTGATTAATCCAACTGGCTGTTAACTTGGGTTTTTTATTGAAGTAAATTCCAAAGCTTTAACCTGCATTTTTCAGACCAGTATCGTTCTACCAAAATGAGCTCTTGTTGTTGATGTGTTCACTTTAGTGTTTACTTTTCTTATGTTAGCTAAAGAGCTTGGATTTGCTGCCTGTATCAACAATTTTTACATATTCGTTGTTGGGGTAAAGGGTCGACGCGAACCAATTTCGCGCTCTACCTAGATAATCTCGCCCTTGCGCAATCTTCTAAGATTGGCGCGGGTGTAATCTTTTCAAATTCAACAGTGGACGATTTCAATGCAGTTCCCAGTCTTTGGCATTTTATGTAATTATATGAACTTTATCTTGCCAGTTGTGTTGACTCAGGTGTTTTGATGATGTATGCTGTTGTGAGTCATACCCATATTTCTAGAACGACATTTTAATCATTTCCATGCATGCACATTAATTTGGTCATTTTATCTCATACAAAAGTTACAAAATTGTGGGACCAGCTGGCACTACTGTACTAATGTATGTGTTTGCAGTTATACTGAGTCATTAGAATGTCAGAAAATTTGAAAGTGTCATACATTTCCTCTGAACTCTCTGTGAACTCTGAATCTTTTCATTGTTTCTATCTTTACAACTCATTCAGATGGCTGACATAGTTTCCGATGAACCACATGAAGGAGAACCGCAAAGAGATGCTGAAGATGCACCAGAAACCGAAACTGATCAGGAAAGAAATATTCCTGAAGAGGTGGAACTGCAACATTCACCACAAATGGACGAATCAGATATTGCTGAAATGAGTATGATTGCTGCACAAATAGAAAGTGCTGAGGACTTTAATTTGACGTTTGAGTTAAGTTTGAACTTCACTTGTTTCCTTCCTTTCTTTTTTGTTTCAGTTAAGAAGTCTTTCTGGGACTTGTTTCTTTTAACAATCGAGGAAAACACTTCTATTTTTTTACATTAAGATTGTGGATCTTCTCCTGTTACCCATATCCTCTATCAAAATCTCTTCGTAACATAAATTTAGCTATTCTGCATAATGGGATATTATTTTTGAACAGATTTTTCCTATTTAGGTTGTCGACACATCCGACATGCAGCCAGTAGGGGAGAAACCAAAAAGCCGGCGGCGATCAAAAGAAGTCAGTCCACTTTATGTAACCGAAAGACATGAGATTGAGGAGTTCCTGGAAGAAGGCCTCAACGAATCAGTAGTAGGTTCATATAAATATATTCACATATTTCTACAAATTATGTTCTATCAGTTGACGGTTTTACTCAGTTTGAAATTTCAGTATTTTTGGAAGTTTTTCTTTGTCTCTGTTTCATTGCAGTCAATTAGCTCAGTAAGCTCCGTAAAACCTTGAAAAAACAATTTATACTTTTGTAATAGCGTTAGAGCTGAATACAATAAATACGGGAACGGGTCGTTTGCTCCATCAGTCTGGAGATTTGTGAAGGTTGTTACGTCGCTGCATTACAGTCGTAGTAGTTTTCTAGCGATAAATTAGCTTTCTAAATTGTGAATTGGAGGTCCAAGTTAGGATTTCTTCTCTCATCTGATTGCTTCTTATTTCTAACCATTATCATTTTAACCCATTTTTTTGACTTCTTTTCGTTGAGGAAAGTATTCAAGAGAACTTGTTAGTTTCATCATTTTGAGTAACATGAAAAAAGAAACGTAAATAGCCATAAACCTGAAAAACCTTGAGTTGCCATAATGCATCTCAGTATAAATCATATTCTTCTTACTTCGACATGCACTTACATATATGAGAAAAGATTTGAAAGTCTTCAGATTGCGGAGCAAACAGAGAAAGCGAACACATCGATAGCAGAGGCCCTTCTGGGCGAATGGGGCAGTCCGAAAGTGGATCCGAAGCGGTCTGCTCTACGCCTACAGCGTCCGGCAGACGAGAAGATGACGTCACCGAAGAAAGCAACGGTTTCAAGCACACCTAAGAGTCGTTCACCTTTAAGAGAACTGACTCACAGTTCACCGAACTCTAGAAAACGCAGGTCAAGTTCATCAACTAACGGTGAAGGACTAACGCCTAGTTCTAAGCGACGATCGAGCACTTCCAGTGTTTCGAAAAGTGATGAAAAGAGGGCTACGAAGAGAAAGAGAACATCGAGTATGTCCAAAGAAAGTCGAACTGAATCTTCTAAACAAATTTTGAAAGCGCGCAATATATAATCAATTCCTTGAAATTTTTTTGATTATATCTTCCATTAATGTTACTTTCATGTTAGTATGATTTTGCATGCTTGCTGAGTATATACCACTTGCAGAACTCAATATTTTGGTTTCGTTCATA